GAGAAATCTCTCTCGTCTCGCGGCAGGCATCAGGCAAGTGCCCTCTCCCCGCAGGCAAGATGCCCCAAATGAAGGCTCCATTCCGCTCAAGGGGCGGTGGAGGAGGAGCCCAAGAAGAGATGCATGAGGTTCTCAGCTAAATCTGCGCCGGCCAAAGTGGAGACAAAGCCAAAAGGACACATCTTCAGACCAAAAATGACAAGGCTGAGATGGGTAACCAGGAAACTAAGGGTTCATCTGCGGGAACTGGAGTCCAGCGTCTGCTGCAGCAAGGGGAAACGCAGCCAAGTGTGATGGCGGTTGGTGTCTCGTCAGCGGCCCTGCCATTTCCCTGCTTGTACAACCCAGAGGAATATTTTTACCAACTATTTTGTAAATGTCGGTGCTTCCGTAGCTCTATCGAATCATTCTGAAGGAAGAAATCCTACTTCATCCCATTATTTAAAGGGCACATGCTTTTTGTTTAAGACGTGAAATCATGTATTGGGTTGTGGTTGTTGTTTTTGGCACAACCAAAAAATCGAGCGATGCCAAATTGTGAGAAGATTTGACTATCTTGGGTGTCAACATAATGTCCCAGGGGCTGGGGGAGATGGCACCCGACCCAAGCTATGGGAGGTCCAATCACTTCCTGTGCATGTGAAAGTTGGACACTGAGTAAGGAAGACAAGAAGAATCAATCAGTGCATTTGAATGAGCGTGTTGGGGAAGACTATTGGAACAACTACGGGCTGTCAAAAGACAAGCAGATCTGTCTTGGGAGAAGTACAGCCAGAATGCTCCTTAGAGGCAAAGACGTCGAGACGTTGTCTCATGTCCTTTGGACATGTCAGGAGAGACCAGTCCCCGGAGAGGGACACCATGCTTGGTCAAGTAGTGGACAGTGAAAACGAGGAAGCCCTCCCTCAAGATGGGTGGACACAGCGGCTGCATCGTGGGCTGCAGCATAAATGTGGCTGGGAGGCTGGTGGTGGACGGGCAGGGTTTCCTTCTGCAGGACACAGGTCACTGCGGTTGGAACCGACACATTGGCACTTAAGAACAACAGCACAAAGCATATTGAATCGCAATTGGGAGTCACCATCCTGCACTGGCATAGCTTGAACATTTTAAATTGCTTCCATGGTGGTTGGGGGTAGAAATCGCTACCCCATTGTGTCTGAAAACAGCTCCCTCGCCCTCGGGCTCTGGTCAGAACTCTGTCGCCCCTTGGGTCACGTCGCCCCGTTTTCCTGGTGACTTTGTGATGTGCTGGGGGCGGGGAAGTGGAGGGTGGAAACGGTGAGTGTGTAGTGTGTGTGGCATTAAATTGTGAATGAGAGGACTTCACAGACGTCCCAGTGGCATGGCAGCTCCCGTTGGGCTGTGATCCACAAGGTGGGTGGTTCAAAACCCCCAGCAGCTCTGAGGGAGAAAGACAGGACTTTCTCCTCCTGTAAAGAGCTGCAGGCTCGGAAACCCACAGGGGCAGTTCCCCACTGTCCTACGGGGCCCCTGGGAGTCGGTCTTCATTCCATGGTGGTGGGTTGGTTTCCCTCTGGCTTATGACGTAGCAGCTTGTCACCATTTGAAGCTGCTGGAACGTGACATTCCCTGAAGGAAAATGTGCCTCCAAATTTAAAAGCTGGAAAGTCACTGGGCTTTAGAATAAAGAATTGCAACGATGGGCCCGTTGAGGATTTGGGCACGTGCATTAAGAATTGGATCCAGGTGGTTCATCATGTCTCGGTATGGATCCTGCAAACAACGCATTAAAGATCAGCTCTGGGGGAAAGTTCCGGGGATAAAAAACAACCACGACTCTTTCCTTGCATCTCCCCACAAACTTTGGAACCCCGCCTCCTGCCTGACAGCCAGAGCGCCTCGGGCTCCCCAGTCCCCTCGGCTGGACTTTGGGCACCACAGGGTTACTGCAGCAGGCTTCTTGTTACCTTGGCTCTGTCCCTTCAGGGACAAAGTCCTCTGAGCGCTCTGACCTGGCAGACCTGCTGGAGCCAGGGGCTGCTGTCAGGGACAGGTGTTGGAGGCGGGGCCCCAAATGCGTGTGCCAGCCCCTTCCATCCTGCTCGCCTCATCTCGCTCCACGCGACAGCCGGCGTGCGTGTGGCTGGTCTGAGAGTCATGCCGGGCACATTCCCACGTGGGACCTTCCCACTGAGTGTGCCTGCGCTGGAGAACAGGCCTGCTGCCCAAACTCTTCTCCCTGGCCCCTGGGGGCCTACGTCTCCCACTTCCGTGTGAGAGGTGGTGGTTGGGTGCCGTCAGGCAGTTCCGACTCAGACAGACCCCGTGTACAGCAGGGTCACCCACTCCCAGGTCCTGGGCCACGTTGTGGCCATCCATCTGATGGAGAGCCTTCCTCCTTTGCGCTGCCCCTCCACTTGGCCAAACATGATGTCCTTCTCCAGGGTCTGGTCTCTCCTGACCACACGTCCCAAGTACGTGAGACGAAGTTTCGCCTTCCTTGCCCCTAAGGAGCATTCCGCCCGAACATCTTCCAAGCCGCATCCGTCTGTTCTCTTGGCAGTCCGTGCTACCTGGAAACTTCTTCCCCAGCCCCACTTTGCCGACGCAAAAAAAGCCCTGCGTTTTGCCCACGGTGCGGGTGTCGGGAGTTTCAGCGAGGGTGTTGTGTGCGAGACTGTGCGATGCGCTGCCCCAGCGATCCCCCAGACTGGCAGCTGGGCAAGGGAAGGGCAAGCAGTGGGTCCAGCCGGATTAGTGACCTCCCAGCCTTCACACTCCCAGTCCCGGGCCGGCCTGCCTCTCTACCTTTCTCCTGCTTGGGGACTTCCGGGTCCAGTGGCAGTGGCCCCCTCACCTTCCCTCCCAACCTGATCAGTTTCCTCGGGTCTCTCGGCCTTTATCCCTCCCTTCTTCAGAAACCAGTGAGGAACGGCCGTCCTCAGGAAACCCTGCCCAAACTGCCTCCCGCCCCGCTGCTCCCTCCCCAGGTCCCTTGAGCAACTAGTCATGCTCACCCATGGGCAGTGCCCTCGAGTGGGAGGAGCCTGGGCTGCGGAGGCAGCTGTCTGAGGTCCAAGCCAAGCTCCACGGTGGCCAGTTGTGAACCTCAAGGAGCTGTAGAGCCTCTCTCTCTGTGCCTCAGCCCCCAAGCGAGATGGTAACTGGTCTCTTGGCCCGACCACTCTGCTGCACAGTCAGTCCCAACTCCCGGCAGCCCTACAGGACAGCGTAGAACAAACCGCTCCTGTCGGTTTCAGAGGCTGCCGATCACTACAGGAGGCGCAGCCAGCTGCCTCCTTCTCCCTCGGAGCCACCGGTGGGTTTGAACTGCAGACCTTGTGGTTAGCAGTCCAAATCTTGGGGGCAGCCGTGATCAGATGTCACATTCCGGATGGCCAGGTACCACCTCAGAGGTTTAGATCCATGCGTTCCGGGTAGGGGCCTGAGAATTTGCTTTTCTAACAAGTTCCTGGAGAAGCCGTGGAAAAGTGGGTTGTCACCACAAAGCCAGCAGTTTGAAACCACCAGCCTCTCGTTGGGAAATGGATGAGGCTTTCTACTCCCGTCGAGAGTTCCAGTCTCGGAAACCCGCGGGGGCAGTTCTACCCTGTCCTGTAGGGTCGCTGTGAGTCAGAACTGACTTGATGCTAGGGCGTGGACAAGTGCTCAAGAGATGCTGCCAGTGCTGAGACTACCCTTTGAGAACCACGGTAACAGCTGTCGTGGAGCCATGGTGAAGTGATCCCCATGGTCGGCAGTTCAAAACCACCCTCAGCTCTGTGGGAGAAAGGCTATGTGTTCTGCTCTTGTCAACAGTTACAGTCTCTGAAACTCACAGGGGTCCCTAAATCTGCATTGGCTCGGTGACACCGAGTTTTTGGTTATGTGAGCCTGGTCCTCTTTATATTTCTAACTGAATTAGATGAGAGGCCTACCTGTGCCCACTCCTAGCCTGGCGTCTTGGTAAACATCACCTGCATTCTAAGGAGCCCTGTTGGTGCTGTAGAGGAAGCATTGGACTGCGAACCACAAGGTCAGTGGTTCAAACCCACCAGGCTGTCTGCTCCCATACACACGGACAGCCTCAGAAATCGATGGGATGGCAGTGGGTGGGGCTGGTTGTCTGGCTCTCTGAGCCTCGGCTCCCGGCTGAGGTTTGCTGGCGACAAACCAGAGGGCGCAGGTTCCAGCCCAGTCAGCGGTGCCCCGAGAGGAAGGCCTGGAGACCTGGCTTCCATCCAGACGACAGCCCCACAGAGTAGTCCCACTGTCACGGAGCAGGCTGCCGGGAGTCGGCAGCGGCTCGATGGCACAAGGTTTGCTTTATCTCGTTGGTCTCATTTAATTTCTTATCTGAGTTCTTTGACCTTCCTGGGGCTGTCAGGAGAGCCCCTTCCCAGGAGAGTCTCGGCCCTGGGAAGGGGGTGCAGGTGTCTTCAGTCAGATGCAAGTGACGGACGTCTGAAAGGCTGACGCCGCACGGTGCAGCTGGTGGGGAGGGACAGCAGGCAAGGCCACCTATAAAATGGTGAAGCCAGGCAGGGACAACTCGGAACAGCGGGGACCACAGCAAAGGGGGACCTTGCATCCCTGCAGAAGGGGCAGCTACCCTCTGCTCCAGCGAGCTGTGACTGGCGGGGAGCGTGGGCCCAGTGGTCTCAGATGACCAGACTGCCACTCTGGGGAAAGCCAGCCAGGAGGATTGTTTGCAGAAGCCCCCGCTGGCCACGCCCAGCACAGTGGAAACAGCAGCAGCCCACAGCCACACAGCCAAGGATGCCTGGGCCCCTGACCCCACAAGGGGCAGGCAGCAGGCCAGGACCAAGGCTAGGTTCCTGCTGGAAACAGTGGGGGTGGGAGTGTCCTCGGGGGG